CTGTACCAGTGTAGGTAGTGGTAATAATAAGAAAACTTCGTACTCTATTATATAAAGAAAAATAATCTTGAACGTCTGTCTGTACCAGTGTAGGTAGTGGTAATAATAAGAAAACTTCACACTCTATTATATAAAGAAAAATAATCTTGAACGTCTGTCTGTACCAGTGTAGGTAGTGGTAATAATAAGAAAACTTCGTACTCTATTATATAAAGAAAAATAATCTGAAACGTCTGTCTGTAACAGTGTAGGTAGTGGTAATAATAAGAAAACTTCACAATTTATTATATAAAGAAAAATAATCTTGAACGTCTGTCTGTACCAGTGTAGGTAGTGGTAATAAGAAGAAAGCGTCGGATTGATAGTGATGCCATTACCTGAAAATACAAGGAGAAATTCCTTGAGAGCGAAGTCCTTCGTCAGGACGTTAGTAAGCCTATCAGCTTCCGGATGGAGGACCCTCGCTCGGAACGACGAAGTTCTCCTTTTTCAGGTAGTTGCATCCCCATCAATCTGAAGACTTCAAATCGAAAAGTAGAATATCAAACCAGTTGGTCAAAATTCTCCTTGACAAGCTTTACTCCAGTGACGAATAATTAACAAGGAATTGCTCAATGCCCTCCATTTAACTTACTCTCCCATGTCAATTCACATTTCCCTTGCTAAATCAAAGACGCCGAGCAACGAGCCTAATAACGTCTCCTATTCCCTATTATATACAGTTATTTATCAAAATGAATTTTATTGAGCGCCGCACTCAAATAAGCACTGTTTAAAATCTTTAAAACGTTGCAACAGCTAGAGAAGAAAAAGTTTGCACAGCTCCAAAATTGCATCAGTTCATTGTAATTTTGCCGTTATTCGAGAGGCACTTAAACATGAAAATTTGACTTCCAACGTTACAGATAGACCTTGGAATGAAAATGTTTACTAAATAGTTCTACATGCCTTGCCGAATTTCTCAGAAACTGAATTCTCCACGATAGCTGATTTGACTGGTCCAGGACAAACAATTGAGACGTCGATACCATTGTCATAAACTTCAGTTCGTAATGAATAAAAATATCCCTGAGGAGAAATAAAAAGTTGAAGGATCAAAAGTTACAAAAGCGTTAATAAAAAGATATGGCAACAAAACATTTGTTTGTTTCATTTGAAAGAACGTTTTAAAAATTATGGGGAAAACTTTTTACAGTTTCTTCAAAAGTTAATTGTTTAGTTCTCGAAATATTTTGACTGGAATCGTCATTAATGATTGAAGGTGTCCGCCATCTTGAATTTTTGTGGATATTTTTTTTATTTCAATTTTAATTTTAATTTTAAAAGTTTCGCCAATAAAATATTTATGTAATAATAACTGAATAAATAACTGAACAAACAAAATAGAAATAACTGAACAAACTTATGAACAAATGAACAAATGAACAAATTAATATTATAGAAATAACTGAACAAACAAAAGCAACTTGCCAAGGAACACCGTTTCATTTTCGATAATAGTGAACAATTATCATAGTTATATCCAGTAGTGTAGCTTTAAGATTCTGGATTTTGGACATCGGCCAGTCGTTATAACTAATCACATGTATAGAATAATTTTGTAGGGGTCATCATATACCTATATACTATCCTTTCTAAAGAACGAGTCACAAACAATGATCAGTTTTGTTTCCGAAAGCCAGTCACAAAATATGATAATATTTTAGGTAGGTCTTTACCCCTTTGTAGATGAAATTTCGAGGTGGCCTGTGTAGTTCAGTTGGTTAAAGCGCTTCACTGGAATCGTATAGCTACAGATTAGATTCGAGCCTATATAGTTGCATTTTTGCAACTGCTCCTGATTAGGTGTAATAAATGTATAAATTTACACTACAATCAGCTTAAAGATCAATTTCAAGATACTAACCTGAAGAGCATGTTTTGTGGCAGAGTATGTGCCAGATGTTGGAACACCTAAATTGCGAATTCGTTAGCGTCATTAATGAGTAAGATTAAATCGAATGGATTTTTACTGGTTTAAAAACGGTATTAAAGTATCTAGGTATCGCAATTTTTAAAATATACTTCTAAGTAGAAATTAATCCTAAGTCTTGTGGCCCAAGTCGTCTAGTTAATTAACCCTTTAAGTGGCAGTGCGTCCTACTTTATTATTTTACTCTGTCTAACGCCAGACGGTTTTACTCATCAAAACGCACAAATAGGGTGCATGTATTCTAAGCCAGGGTCACAGAATAGTGACGTTACAGAGGGCACAATTCTTGATTTTGTATATGATCTTGGCGCAACCGTTATAATGCAGTCTCCATGTTCCAGTGGTCTTACAACAGCCAGTGTGTTTGAGACCTATGAACATATTCAGAAAGACGAACGTTAATTGGGGTGAATGACTCTCATAAGCACACTGACTAGGAGCGGTGACTGACTTTTCACATGAGTGGGCAACGAGAGAATCGAAGCCACGAGAAAGGCGTTTGCGCTGACGACTGCACAACCGACGTAGATTTAACACATTGAGTAGCAGCACTCTCCCCCTGACGAGTAAGATCATCTGGCGTTGGACAGAGAAAAATAATAAAGTAGAGCACATCTGGGCGCATTGCTACTTAGAGGGTTAACAAGGCGACAGGGCCACAAGACGTAGGTTTTATTTCTGTTTTTAGGGATCAACTAACCCATGCTAAGGATTTGAGTGAAAGATTTAAGGGATATTATTAAAACAAACAAAAGAACCTTAAAAATCTGAATGCATGAACAAATGTGAACCAACCCATTCTCGTACCCAGAGCCCTTCTTACGCGCGGTGCGACGAGGGGCTCTGGCCAAATCCATATCAGAACTGGCATCTGGTTGGCTAGTTCTAACACCGGATATTGTTTTCTTACCATGTTTTTATGGTATCCGGTTATGGATTTGGCCACAGCCCCTTGTCGCACCGCGCGTAAGAAGGGCTCTGGGTACGAGAATGGAGCCTACCTAATTTCCCAGTTAAACTAGAGACAACTACAATATGTCCAGCATTTCGCTCAATCATATGCGGGAGGACAACTTTGGTTAGAGATATTGTACCCAGGACATTCAGTTCAAACAATTCTTGATCGACTTTGAATTCGGTGTTGATAATTATGCCACGCTGTGATCTACCACTGTTATTTACCAGAATATCTATCTGAAGAGAAATTCAGAAATAATGAAACTCCTGTTGGAGAAAATGGCTCGCTCCAAAATATCAGGAGTTTGGGCACTCGATAGAACTAATTGTAGATAGGCTTCGTACATGGAAATTCGAGTGTGAATTTATACATTTATTAGACGTACAATCACTTTCAGAAGTTGTTGGGACACATGCAGTTTTAGATTGTAAGTGGATCACTACAGTTTTTTACACACAATACCGCTCCCTTCCCCCTCCCCCCACCCCAATCAATGTCGCTCCAACCAAAACACATCAAACCTGACGAGAAATGGGACACAACATTGAACAGGGGGCGGGGGGGATTCACGTTTGTTGAAATTCAAAGGTTTTGTGGCATCTGTCCCAAGACTTTTGAAACTGATTGTAGCTGGAAACCATATATATATATATAAACTTTTCAAGTACATCACTCATTTGAACTCTTTATCGGAAACAGCAATTGCCAAACAAGCTTTCCTAATCTCAAAAGATTTGTTTACTAAACAGAACACTTCTTATTATGGAAAAGCAATGGATATTTTGAAAGCATTTAACCTCAACACAGAAATCACTGACTTGGAATCAATCACAACTGAACTTATTCAACCTATTACCAAACGTCTTTTAAAGAAAATTACCTCACATTTTGGAAACACAAACTTGAAAATTCCTCGAAACTAACCTTTTATTCAACCATCAAGATAGATTACGAACTAGAAAAGTACTTATCTATAATAAAAGACTCAAACAAAAGGAAAACCTTAACACGATTCAGATTAAGTAAGCATAGCCGTCAGATTGAATCTGGTAGATACCATAATATAGCCCGAGAAGAACGACTGTGTAACCTTTGTCACTCTGGAGAAGTCGAAAATGAATCTCACCTCCTCCTCACTTGCAAGGCTTACGGTGACATTCGAGTAAACTTTATAAACAGTCTAAAAAACGACCTCACTACTACTGAGACAAACGTAAACGAACCAACTTTATCAGTTGACATAATGAAGTCAACTGCTAGTGACACCATCCTGAAATTATCGAAATTTATTTTTTCGTGTTTTGAGGAAAGACTTAAACAACTTGAAGCCGGGAATGCTGGTAGTCATTAGTTAAACTTTCCGTCCTGTAAATAGTATCTTCTTATAGTCTACTTCTTAAATATTTTTATATGTTACATTGTTACGTTATAGTTAAGCTTCAGCAATACCTGTAAAATATGGTCGTGCTAATAAAGCGATTACCAATACTATGCCACGATTCTTTAAACTCACGCGCATGTTTCGTAGTAGCTTGTCCTAGGCATCTCGTTTGAGACCAAATTTGTGTCCGTTATCGTCTGCGCGCTTGGCTGGGAGTGAATTATGGTCAATGCATGGCGTTTTGATGTTCGGTTAATCTTGTCCGAATTTTCTTAGACGTTTGTCCAGTGTACTTGTTGGGGCAGTTTTTGGAAGTAAACATGTAAATGCATGGCGTTATGTTTTTCGGTTACGTTTGTTTTGTCTTTATGATTAGTGAACTTGGATCTAAGTTTGCATGTTGGTTTGTGTGCAATGTCGATGTTGAACGGTCTGAGAAGTCTAGCTGTCATTTCCGACGTGGCGTTTATATAACTTGTAAATAAGTATTCACTTGTAAATAAGTATTGAAAAGTCCTGCGGGGAATACTTCCAATAATAATAATAATAATAATAATAATAATAAGTATAGGTAATCACATGGGAAGGAGTGCAATTAATGATTAACACTACGAGTGATATTTGAAAAATGTGCCAAGATTGCACGAGCCGCCGAGGCGAGTGTAATTTGGCAAATTTTTCAAATATCACGAGTAGTGTTAATCATTAATTGCACGACTTGCCCGTCATGTGATTATTTATTTATTATATGCATGACAAAATCGCTTTCTTTATATTTCAACTGCATTTTGTCAAGAGTTTTTAATTCTTTTGTAAGCAATTTGGTATAAACAAACTTGGGAAATGATTATAAACTCATAAAGGCACATAACTTAAACTAGAACACAAGATTCAAACTCAAACAACATATTTTAGACTAAGAAAATCTTTATAAATTGTATTTCAAACTTACATAGTCACGTTTCGCTGCATCCCGCCAAGATTATTTCTTAAGACTGTTTTCTGGTATTTTCCACAGGCTCTTTTTGCCATACAATGTTTCTTAAACTCATTCTTGTGCCAAAATTCAGTTAAATTCGTCCACATTTGTTAGAAATACTTATCTAAATTTCGCCGCCATATTGGATTTTGTTGTTTTGATTTCCCGCTCCCCCCAGCCATCACGAAAATCATTAATTGCACTCCTGGAGAGTGCAATTATAATAATAATAATAATAATAATAATAATAATAATAATAATAATAATAATAATAATAATAATAATAATAATTTGGTCTGTGTGCGTTTTCTTGCGATATACTTGCCTGTTTACTAATCATAAAGACAAAACAAACGTAACCGAAAAACATAACGCTATTTACATGTTTACTTGCAAAAACTGCCCCGACAAGTACATTGGACAAACGTCTAAGAAAATTCAGACAAGATTAACCGAACATCAAAACGCCATTAACAGACATGACCATAATTCACTCCCAGCCAAGCACGCAGACGATCACGGACACAAATTTGACTGGTCTCAAACGAGATGCCTAGGACAAGCTTCTACGAAACATGCCCATGAGTTTAAAGAAGCGTGGCATAGCAGGGCCTTTTTTAAGGATTTTCCCGTGGGGGGGGGGGGCATTTTTTGAAAAGGGACCTTTCTGTGAGATAATATATTAGATGGGGATAGCAATGGCTGAAGGCCACGTGGTTGACCAATATGCCACGCATGGTTAAAATTTTTGAAATTTGAATCCCGGAAATGTCATTTCCTGCATTCTGAGCATCCAAATTTTCTCCAAAATTTATGCTAACTATACTTGTATTTGAAATAAATAAAGGAAAAATGCACAAAAAGTAAAAAAAATAACCATCATTTATCATTACTTATTAGAGGAGGACAGCAATGGTCACGTGTGCAGGGGTGTACTCTCCGACCAGAAAATGTTTGAAATTGGAAGCACTGAAATGCCATTTACTGCATTCTGAGCATCCAAATTTGCTCTAAAATTTATGCTAACTATACTTGTATTTGAAATAAAAGAAGGAAAAAATGCACAAAAAGTAAAAAAGAATATTAACTGTAATTTATCATTACTTATTAGAGGGATAATCCCCAGAAAATTTTGAAACTTGAAACCCGGAAATGCTATTTCCTGCATTTTGAGCATCCAAAAAATAAAAAAAATATTAACAATAATTTATCATTACTTAGTGGTAGAAAAACGTGACAATTTAAATCGATTTTGTTAAGGTGGGGGTCTACCTAAACTTGCGATATTCCGGTTGACCACATTTGCAAGCCTATTACTCGCCAAGTTTTTTAGATAGCTATACAAAACTATATATCATTAGAAAGCCTATATAACATAGATTCTAAAAATACTTAGGTCTTTCTCATACCTTTAATATTTATCCTGCCATCTAGTAATTAAACACAGTGTATGTCTCATACAAATCACTGTTAGTTGGGAAAAAATACAGCCTTACCATTTTAATGAAATTTTACCACTAATAGCTATTTGTTGACTACAAAGCAAGTAGATTGTTTTCAGCGATGGAATTTTTTATGCTGCATGTAGTTTTTGCACATCATTGCTGCAAAATTTTGGTTCGATTTTCTTCCGAAAATTCTGGCATATTTCCTCGATAAAATGGCAGCATTACAACATATGCCAAATTCTATCGTTGAAAACACTTATCATGATGAGCTCTATTAACACTGAAAATTTCAGCCAGTTTGGTCAAATTGGTAAAGAATTATCTTTTTTCAAAGATGAAAAATACCACATTTTGGGAAAACGTCTATAAAGTGTAAGTTATCAAATATAAACTACCAACTGTTAAGATATACACTATACTCGATATTTTAGACAATTAAAATTGTGCTGGGCATCCCTCATCATCAATTGTCATGTGAAGTCATTTCTTTTTCAAGATTTACTTGTTTATAATAAGAATCCTTTTAAATTTTGATTTTTCTACCATTCCGTCCAAATGCTGTTATGTCTTGCATCACCATTTGGTTTCCCCGCAGTTTGATGGTTGGTTTAAAAGATGTTCCTGAGTGTTAACAGGACATCCCAATCCAGTTCTCAATTTGTATAGCTAAATTTTCCATCATTTTCTTTGCTGAACCCACTTGCTGCTAACAAGGATGTTTAAAGATGCACACGGCAGTGATGGCACTCATTGTGCTTACCAAAGGGGCATGCAGACCAACATTTTAATACCACAGTTTTTTGTATACAATCAATTGTCAATACCAAATTACATGATTCAATGGTAAAATAAAATTATCTGTAACTGTATTCTTGTCCTATTGCTCCAAGTGGTACATTCGGTAAACATATTCAGCCCAAAATAAGCTCAAAAACTTGGTAGGCCTTGACATGTGATTACAGTCCCTAAAATGCAGCACAAAAACAACCTCATTAATATTAATACCAAGAAGCATTAAAATAATAAAATTATAACAATGAAGCAAGAAATAATGTATTGATATCTGTACTAAAATTGGGTAGAGGAAATTGATCTCTTGATATAATGTTGTAAATTTGCAATTTTGCAATAATTACTAATTACATTGTATTAAGAATGATTTGCCCCTTTAATACTGCAACATTTCTGTTGATATTTGGTTTTGAGCCCGCAGTCGGGAGTCCTAGCGGGCGCGCATGCGTAAGTTGTTGTTCTTAAAAAGCATGGCGTGAAGGCCGCCTTTTAGTATTAAACTAGAACTTAATTGAGCTTAATACAGACTTGTAGTCCTTTTAACATGGTGGCAGCGATATATTCTTAAAGATCCTTAGTATTTTGTGAGTATCTATATTTATTTAAATGGAAATGGCACAATTTCATCTACCTTCATCGCTCGATCTGACAGACCGTAATCTGGCAGATAGCTTTAAGAAATGGAAACGTCAGTTACAAGTTTATATGGAAGCTAGTGGGAATAATAACAAGCCGAAGCAGCGACAAACGGCTATTATATTACACTGTGCAGGCCCGCAAGTCCTTGAGGTTTATGATCATTTTGAATTTGAAGGAGAAAATGACAAAAATGATCCTGTTAAAGTGCTCGAAAAACTAGAGGAATATTGCAATCTACGACAAAATGAAGTTCTGCAATCCTTTCGCTCTTGGCAAGTACCCTTCCAAGAACCTTTTGACACATTCCTAACAAAGTTGTACTCTTACGCTGATTCATGCAATTTCAAGGAAAAAGAAAGAATGATACGAGACAAGATAGTCTTCACTGTAACCGGTAAGCAACAAGAACTGTTATTACGAGAGACTAGTTTAGACTTAAAGAAAGCTGTAGAAATATGCAGAGCCTATGAGATCACCTCGAGAAATAAAAAGGAAATGAGTGAAAGCAGTCAACTACAGAAGATTGAGCAGATAGCTGGCAAGAAAAGCTCAAAGTATCCATCAAAACAACATCCTGAACAACCAGGAATAACCCTCACATCCTGAAGGAGTGCAATTTTTGTGGAAAGTCTCATGAAGCCATTAAGACAAAGTGTCCCGCCTGGGGAAAACTCTGTAACCATTGTAAAGGCAGAAACCATTTTGAAGTCAAGTGCAAGAAGGTACACACACTAGAGACAAAGAGCAACTCTGATGAATCTGATGACTCCGATACCAACTGGCTTGCAACTGTGGAAGTTCCCAACAAAACCCGTGCCAATGCTCTGATGCAAGTAAATGACTGTGATGTCAGATTTCAGCTTGACACTGGAGCCGATGTGAACACACTGTGCCAAAAGTTTGTACGACCAACACAGGTGGAACCCACCACACAGAAATTAATCATGTGGAACAAGTCCAAGGTCAACCCATTGGGAGAAACTACCTTGAAGATCACAAACCCAAAGAATGAAGAAGAAACCGTGGTCGATTTTATTGTTGTCCCAAACGATTATAGCTGTCTTCTGGGACTGTCAACTATACAACAAATGGGACTACTTACAATCAATGATGGCAACTTCATAGCCCATATAAGCACTGACGCTAATCAGTTAGGATCGTTGGGAGAAACACAACTACATGTTGATCCAAATGTCCCACCAAGAGCATTTCCATGTAGGAAACTGCCACTAGCATTGCAAGAGAATGTTAAGGAGGAACTTAACCACTTAGTTGAAGCTGGCGTACTGGTGCCTGTGGAAGAACCAACTGCTTGGGTAAGCCAAATGGCAGTTGTAAAGAAACCAAACGGATCTTTGAGAATCTGTATTGACCCACAACCATTAAATGCAGCCCTGCAAAGAGAGCACTACAAGCTACCAACACTAGATGATGTTCTACCTAGTCTCAGCCAACCACGAGTATTTAGCAAACTCGACGTGAAACAAGCCTACTGGCATGTCCAACTGGACAATGAATCTAGCTTACTCACCACCATGATTACACCATTTGGACGATACAGATGGGCCCGGCTCCCATTTGGGCTCAAGGTCAGCAGTGAGATATTTCAAAGAAAGCTCAATGAGGCACTTGTTGGTCTCAATGGTGTGATATGCATTGCAGATGATCTGGTTGTGTATGGGAGTGGCAACACAAGAGAAGAAGCTGATGCTGATCATGAGCAGAACCTCCTGGCACTGCAAGAAAGATGCGCAAAAAAGAGAGTCAAGCTGAATGATGAGAAAACTGTCCTGAAGCAGACAGAAATCAAGTTCATGGGCCATCTTATCACCAATGAAGGAGTAAAAGCAGACAAGTCAAAGGTAGAGGCTATCCTTGACATGCCGGCCCCCACAGATGTACATGGAGTGAAGCGGCTATGTGGAATGATTCAGTATCTGGCTAAGTTTCTGCCCAACCTTGCTGGTGATTTGCAACCCATTCGAGAGCTGACCAAGAAGGATGTGGAGTGGAACTGGTCAACAGAGTGTCAAGAAGCATTCCAGAAGGTCAAGGAAAAGATCACAAACACTCCTTTGCTCGCATACTTTGATTCGAACAAGGAGCTACTATTGCAAGTAGACAGCAGTAAAGACGGACTCGGAGCAGCACTGATGCAAGATGGCAAACCAATTGAATACGCCTCAAGAGCACTGACTCCTGCTGAACGGAATTGGGCACAAATTGAAAAAGAAACCCTAGCTGTGGTGTTCGGTCTTGAACGATTTGACCAATATACGTATGGAAGAAAAGTCATAGTACAGAATGACCACAAGCCTCTGACCTCAATCCTGAAGAAACCTCTGAGCCAGACCCCAAAACGACTACAAGCACTAATGCTACGAGTTCATCGCTATGACATTGAATTTCACTACATTCAAGGAAGTCAACTTGTTATTGCCGACACCCTCAGCCGAGCTTTTCTTGATGTTCCTGACGCACAGGTGAGAGTCATGAAAGTAAACGCTTTGAAAGGAGTGCCAGATGAGCGAATCCGGGAGGTACAAGCAGCTACCGCACAGGACCAATGTATGCAGTCCCTGTTGAGCACTATAAAAGATGGTTGGCCAGAAAGCAAGAAGGACGTACAAAATGATCTGAGGCCATATTTTGATGTGCGAGACACATTGAGCCATCAAAATGGAATTATCCTAAAGGGAGAAAGAATAGTTATCCCAGCATCGCTCGGTGACACCACAAAGAAACGATTGCACTCTGCACATTTGGGGTACGATAGTATGATGAGAAGAGCTCGAGACACCATATTTTGGCCCGGAATGGCAAAAGAAGTACGACAGCTAGCAGATAACTGTGAGGCTTGCCAGCAATACAAACCACAAAACCAGAAAGAGCCATTAAAACAGTATGAGGAAGGACAAGTACCTTGGAATAAGGTTGGAATTGACCTTTTCGAGATCAAAGGAAGAGATTATCTAGCCACGGTTGACTATTTCTCGGGTTTCATAGAAGTTGACCACCTAAGCACTGCCACAAGTAAACAGATAATCACCAAACTCAAAGGACATTTTGCAAGATATGGCATACCAAGTGAAATGGTAACTGATTGTGGTTCACAATTTATTTCCTCCGAGTTCAAGACCTTCACCAAACACTGGGGAATTAAGCATGTAACATCGTCACCCCTCCATCACCAATCGAATGGAAAAGCGGAAGCTGCGGTTAAAACTATGAAGCTAATGATGAATAAGTCACTGCGGGACAACACTGATCAATATGAGGCTTTACTTGAACTGAGAAACACGCCACGCCAGGGTACTGGACAAAGTCCAGCTAAAATGATGTTTGGTCGAGCAACACAATCATTCCTACTAGCCATATCGAACACAAAATCAGAACGGGCGAGAAATGCAACACAGAAGAGAGCCAGACACCGCCTTCTGGTTAAGCAAAGTTATGACAAAGGTGCTCGAGACCTGAAACAACTGTCACCTGGGCAGCCGGTGTACTACCAACACACAGAAGGAAAGAAGTATGACTGGAGAAGAGGAAAAGTACGTGCCAAACATAGTGAACGATCGTATATCATTGAAGGAAAGAATGGTGTATATAGAAGAAACCGAGTTCATATACGCCCCACGACAAGTGAAGTCAACAAAGATAACAGTAAAGACAACAAGGGAGAAGCAGAGGTACAAGCAAGACCACAACGAGCAAGACAAAAGCCCCACTGGACGAAAGACTATACAGTATGTTAAAGTTTTATTACTATATTAATGATTGAGATAGACATTAGATATATACTGTAGGTATTCGGAATTTATTCGGACACGATACAGAAACTTACAGTAATCTGCAGTCTAGCATCAAAGGAACTATCACAGTACATTCACTTTTAGTGGTTATATATATATATATATATATATGCCTTTTTGTAAAAATAGGGAGATGTTGATATTTGGTTTTGAGCCCGCAGTCGGGAGTCCTAGCGGGCGCGCATGCGTAAGTTGTTGTTCTTAAAAAGCATGGCGTGAAGGCCGCCTTTTAGTATTAAACTAGAACTTAATTGAGCTTAATACAGACTTGTAGTCCTTTTAACAATTTCGACTTATAGTAATATAGTAGAATCAATCATTCAATGATAGAAAAATACTTACATCCACAGTTCACCATACACAGCTACTAAGTGCATCAGAACAAACGTTTGAATATCTGTTTATAAGATGCCAAGAATCCAAATACGATTCGAAGATGACTGTTGACATTGGTATTGAATGCATGAATGTGTTCACGTTTTATCGTCGCCTTTATCGCGCATTTCTTTACCCCAGTGAATAATGTTTCATTTAATGTTTTCTGTGTACCATTGTCCGTTATTTTTAACCAAATGTTAAGAAATATATACACAAAAGTAATCAATATTTACGAAATATTGAAACGCATTTTTCAATTTGCTCTGTTTGAATCAGTAGTTCTCGAAAAAACGTATACACGCGCATATTCTTCATGTAGATCCGCTGCAAAATCATCTAGAGATGAGCCTGCATTATAATTTTATATTAGGGAGGGGAGGGACAACAGTATATTAGCAAAAAACATGAAAAATATGAAGGATGCTGCCTTTCGTTACCATGGCAACCAAGCTAAAAATTATAGTGAGGTTGTTTAAAACAGCTCCTGAGAGAACTATTTTTTTAATTCAACCAAATAAATACTTTCACAACATCAATTACATGCCACACTAACTATTTAGCTCAAAAAATAAAAATCGATTTTTTCGAGTGGTTTAGGTAGACCCCACCTTAAACAAGGACAAAGGATAAAGCCTAAAACTTACTTTCCATTTATCTATTTGTTAATCTTCGCTGGTTTGTTTGTATAATTTTAGGGAAAAGGGACTTTTCCTGGGGGGCGGGCAAAATGTGATTTCGTGGGGGGCACAAGGGGACTCGGGGGCATTGTACCCAGCTTGTATGTTAAAAAAGGCCCTGTGGCATAGTATAGATAAACTAACATTTAACCGCCGTATTGACATTCCTGTAATATACTTACAACTAAAACACTCACACAAAAGTCCTGTTTCGCCTTCATTAACCTTTAACCCACCCGCAACTTCCTTCTCAATATCAACACATGATTATTGCAATCACCCGCACTCCATGGCAACCAATAACAATCCATCAGCAACAAGGGGGAATTTCGTTCTCGACAAATCAGCGCTTTTGTTTACATTTTTGCCCTAAGCCAATCAGAATGCGTAAAACGCTTCATCACATGAAATTTGCAAACAAACATATTGGGTTACTTCAGAGCTTTTCTGCAAGCGGTTTTTTTGGTTTTTGCCATGAAATTCATATATGTTGTTCTTAAAAGAATTCTCCTCAACTTCCTCGTGGCGATTTTTGATTAATTGTGTGATTGCGAAGATATGGGTCTTCAAACTTTGCCTTGCGCAAGCTTAAATACCACCCCTCGAATTTGTAGGTTCCGAACGGATTAGCGTTTATAAAGCCTTTCAAATCGAGGTTTGAGAGGTTTTATTTTTTAAAAGATACATATATCTTCCTTAAGTTTAGGAGACCAATGAATATATTGTCATTCAAGGATTAAAAACAATGAAGACAAGTGTTATGGTCAAACAAACGAAAATATTCATGTCCACAGGCTGCAACACGCAATGTTGACACATTATTCTGAAGTCGACTAAGCTCGACTAAATGTCGAAATCGACGAAAAACGAGCCAAAAAACAGTTATTGAGCTAATCAATCAAATAAATACTTGGCATAAGTTTGAAGGTCCATAGTTCAAATATTTGATGAGTTTCTTTATCCCATTTATACCGACAAATTTTAAAAATTCCCTGTAGTTAGGTATTCGCCATATTGATCGCCACGCTGTTTAGCAAGAAATCGACATGTCAACTTGTCCCGGCCCGGAAGTGTCCTGTTTACTTGTTACACAGGATGTTAATAAGTTAATTGTGAAAATATGAAGATAAAAGTATCTTTTAAAAAATAAAACCTCTCAAACCTCGATTTGAAAGGCTTTTAAAAACGCTAATCCGTTCGGAACCTACAAATTCGAGGGGTGGTATTTAAGCTTGCGCAAGACAAAGTTTGAAGACCCATATCTTCGCAATCACGCAATTAATCAAAAATCGCCACGAGGAAGTTGAGGAGAATCCTTTTAAGAACAACATATATGAATTTCATGGCAAAAACAAAAAAAAACGCTTGCAGAAAAGCTCTGAAGTAACCCCATATGTTTGTTTACAAATTTCATGTGATGAAGCGTTTTACGCATTCTGATTGGCTTAGGGCAAAAATGTAAACAAAAGCGCTGATTGGTCGAGAACGAAATTCCCCCTTGTTTCCATCAGCCGAAATGCGTGATCAACCAATCAGACGTTCCCAAAGGCTTCAAGAACGAGAACAGCGCGAAAATTCAAACATTCATGCAACTTTCTGATGAAGGCTCGAAGTACCGAGTCGAAAGCTCAAAACATTTAAATTATAATCCAGAGAACAAAATAATTTGTAGAATTATTCAATTAATAAAATGCCTGGATTACAAATCTTCAACTCTATTAAACATATATATGGGATAGCTACTCTCAGACACGCAAGAAAATGGGAATTATTCGCACTAAAGAAATCGTCGACCTTTGAACAACTCCACTTTCTTCACAACTGCAAACGTCTAAACGTCCTACCTAACAGCATTAACTACCAACCACCGGTTAAAAGCAATTTAGCTATACGCACTGCTCAGGCCAATGGACGACGCATGTTAAATGTACTAATAACAGAAAGAAAAAAAACACAATACAAACACAATCGTTTGCGTACATATCAACGAAGAATTAAGGATCACCGCAGCGCCATTTTTGCCATAACTAACACAGAAGACGGAAATTCATTAGAAAATACCATTAGAAGTATAGTACAGGAATATCAATCAAAGAGACGTGCAAAATTACAACGAAAACTCAACAAATCCAGATCATACCAACGTAACCATAACAACGCAGACGCATGGGTTAAAAATATCTCCCATAAGCAACTCACTGATCAACAGAAACAAGTACTAGCCAAAGGATTGAATTACAACGCAGCTGACGCAAAGAAACTAGATTATATATATATATATATATATATATATATATATATATATATATATATATATATATATATATATATATATATATATATATATATATATATATAGGTGATTCTAAAGATAGGTGTACTGGTACAGGATTCTGGGCATCTCACTCGATGGAACACGGATTGTTGAAGGGTTTTGTTTGGTTTATTTATGCATAAAAAATTGTTCTGGAAATTTCCATCTCCACTGAGACCCCACCTAAATCGAGAGTTTGTATCACTAATTTAAAATTAGACGTTTTCATAAGCGCACAACGTCGGTTAGGGGATCAGGGGGTGCACACGCCCCCCCCCCCAAAAAAAAAAGTTTGCCGAATTATAAACGCAAATGGTCAAACAGATTGGAAAAATCATTTTAAAAGAAATATAAGGTTTCCTTAAATTTAAACCCAATCGAAAACTTTTCCAATCTCTTGTCCTCCACCCCTCCCCCCTTCACCTCCTTTCGTGGCAAGTTTACGCCGGAAAATTTTGTCTGGGAAAATGAGAAAAGGTGGTCAAATTTCTGCCTATCTCCTAATTTTTTCCTTCCGTTCTTCTATATGCGTTAGTGCCATAAGTAAATTTTCGTACCTGGCCAAAATGTTCCAGAACTGTTTGAACTGCCTGGTCATGTGTATCAAACTTGGTAACATCCAGTGGCAACACAAGAAAGTCCTTGTCCTCATCATTTAGTTTCTTACCAGCTATTTCTAAAATTAAACAAAAATATACATTCTAAAATTTCAATAATTGTTTAACATTTGAAATGCAGTGGGGAATTCAAACATTTTTTTATGCAAAGTTAAAATTTTTCATGCATGGAAACATTCTTCACATAAAGAATGACGTGTAACCATGACAACCACTTCAAATACTGCTTGATTTGAAAATTATAGTTGTTTTCCTAGGAAAGCGAGGGGTGTCTGAGGTGTCTGTATGCATGCATTTCTAGTATATTTGATTACAAGCTTTCTACAAGACTGTAGCCTTCGACGGGTATTCGCCTTAGGCCGTCTGCCGGCAGGTTATTCGCAGTCGAAGACTACAAACTGGCATCCGAAAGCTTGCAATTAAATATAAAATTATCTGGTCAGTCGAGAGTGTCTGTTTACTAATAAATACCGTCTGTCTGTCGTTTACGGCTGCAGACCGCAAACGGCAAACTAAAATCCCATTTGAAGGGATTTGAAGTTTGTCGTAGTTCCTCACCAGAGCATTTTGTCTTGACTCGTTCTAACTCTTGTTTTCTTCTCGCAGAAAGAATTAACTTGCAGCCAACACTTGCCAGCTCATACGCCAGATTTTCACCAATACCACTTGAAGCGCCAGTGATCCATACAACTTTATCTCGCAATTCATCGACTTTCTTGCCAAATAATTCGTAATATTTCAATGTTATATCTACCTCAACGGTCTTGTAAATACTGATGAGAAATACAATGATGAATATTGCAGCAATTAGCACAAAAGACATCGTACAATTTAATATTTTAATCGAAATATTACAGTCAAACCAAAACGGATGCTCTCTTGCGACACAATATAATATTTCAATTTGCAAATTAATTGCTGGATTAAATTACAGTGTTTTGCGTGGGCGGTTGGATTACATTTGCATATGTTGAAATATATTCGCGAAGGACAAAAAATGCATGGTAAAGATTTTCTACGTAAATTGTTTCAGCAGAAATGCAATTAAATGATATATTAACATGAGAATAGAGACACACAGAAAATCCACTCAGCCAAAAGAACGTTGTCACGCCATAATTCGCAATGATTTGTCATTGCGATAATGAGGTATTCACGCCGGCCCTTGGACGCATCGATCTATGCTTGGAGTCTGCCATTTTGAATATTTTCAGGGGGAAAATGCTTCTCATAAGCGCACTGATCAAGAAGTCGACCTTCTGCATGTCTCTATTCTGTGACTATACTTTGATAAACATCGATCTGATGATCCAATGGTCTCAAACATCGTTCAGAGAAACAGTTCAGGTTTTGTTTTAAGGCTGGTTTGCATATGGTCGTAACAGTAGTAAACACTGAGTCACGATCTTACTCATCAGCCGAAATACAAATTTTAGAACTGAAAAATGGAAATACGCAGGGTGATTATAACTAGAGAAAACTCGTGATTTATATGTGGTTTACAGGTGATAAACTATTATAAACTGGCCGTTGAGAAAGATCGTGACCCTTTTTTACAATCATTGGTGGGGAGCCAACCCAAGTACATACCTGAGCTCACTTTCCCGAGATGAATTTTACCCGTGTATACATCATGAGACTTTGCATGACCTGTTTATGCATAAATTATAAAATTTTGGTTGATTATAAGTAGTATAATGAAATGAGGGGTATTAGGTATTAAACCGCCCATTCGATGAGGGTCATTAACGCGTACGGCCCGAAGGAATTTACTTGATGATACGCCGAAATTTCATGATATTACCGCTGTAATATTATAGTTATCGAAATTTCTATCTGTGATTGCATACTTGGCGATGACCTTCTCAACTGATGAAAATGTGTCGGTATGTCGAAAAGAGACAGTGCCAAAGAATACTGACAAGAAAATACACGTCTTGGGGAGTAAACGTTTATAAATTCTGGGCGAAATCTCTTGAGGTTAATAAGAAAGACGAAAAGTGTAGGGCCTAATATTAATAGTGTCGAAAACAAAAGTTGTGAAATAATGTTTTCTGATTCTGATATAAGCGATATTCTATATTGAGTCAGGCACTGCAGTCGTACGTGGCCGGTTTCGAAAGACAAACAATACCTTCGTCAAGCAATGATAACTTGAACTTGAATGGGTTTATTATGTACAATTATTGTAATATAGGTACTGTGAATGTATATATTAGATAGCTTAAGATCTACGACGTCGACGTCAGCTAGGACGTCAGGGCTATGCAGAGGGCTGGCACTAGGATGTCCTCCTAATGTAGTCCCAGTCCTCTGCTTAGCCCTGACGTCCTAGCTGACGTCGACGTCGTAGATCTTAAGCTATCTATTAACAACAATTTGTATAATTTCAGTATTGAGAAATGGTCTTTAAGCATTCTGATTGGTTCCCTCAGCAGTCGAACTCTAGGAAACTGAGTTACTGCTCATAGTGCTCAGAGGCGTAGCTAGAATCAGTACAGGTTCGGCAAATGTCTGCTAAACTTGGCAAAATGTCTGCTAGACTCAGCAAATTGTTTTCGGGTTTAACGGGAAATTGTTGTCGTGGTGACCGAAAATATTTAATTTTAAATAAAATATAAAATATTTAATTAAATATTTAATTGAAAATATTTAAATTGTAAAATAGTGCGAGTTTGTTTGTGTAAATTAAAAGTTGGTATGTTTTATCAAGGGTATGAATGATGGTTTGTTTACATTTCTCGATTCAAATTAAGTTACTGGGTGAGAACAATCTAATACTACTTCCTCGCATGACGTAATACCGCGGGTTGTATTAGTCATGGTCTAATACACGAATCGCGAAATTCGGGCAAAATTCACAGTTAAAGAAAAACATGTACTGGATAATTTAAAATCACGCTGGCCATATTCATCAAATTTTCTCCCAGTACCGCAGGCTCGCATTTTCAGCGGAATTGCAGTGAAAAATTGAAACTTTTGCATTTTTCAAAGAACTGACCACTTACTGTAAGATGAAATTTTGGAAATTCTGAAGGAGAAATTTGCTAAATTCGACCAACATGAATATGCGTATTATGTAAAGTATTCAAATGTTTACTCACGCTTTCATGATTGCATATTATAAAATAACATGTGTATAACGCGTGCCCTGATTGGTTGAAACCCGTGTTTGGATCAGGCCCTCCAAACCGACGAAAATTTAAAGTGAACGTTTTTTAAAGTGAAATTTTAACACGGCAAGTTGTTATTTTATAAAACAATTACTTTATGGTTTCCGTGTTTGGATGGCCTGATCCAAACACGCGGGAATGTTGCTCGAGTTAAAAAAAGCGAGCAAAATCACTCGCCTTCGGCTCGTGTTTCGCTCGCTTTTCTTAACTATCGCAGCATTCCTGCATGTTTGCATCAGGCCATCCAAACACGGAAACCATAAAGAAATTGTATATTACTACAATGCAACATGAATATGCCCGACTCAGAACGCGTCATTTGGATGCGCAATCGAATTTCGCGATTCATCTATGACGACCGCTATACTGTATAAATAATTTCTAATTAGATAAATTGAGTGATTATTAATTCAACCTCAAAAGAAAAAAGAAATTGAGACAACCTTGAATTTTATTTAACTTCGGTTCGTCTTCGAACGCCGATACTGAAAGATTTTGTGACTAAAATCAGTCACAGCAGCTTTTTGCAACGAATTTTACAAATTGAAATCTTAAGCCTGTATGTTTCCATATGGTCGTAATGGTCGTAAAATAGAGTCACGATCTTTCTCTAGTACGGCCAGTTTATAATAGTTTATACCTTTAAACCACATATAAATCATAATTATTCTCAAGTTATAATCACCACGTGTATTTTCAGTTCTAAAATGTTGTATTTTGGCTGATTATAAAGATCGTGACTCAATATTTACGACCGTTACGACCATATGGAAACCAGGTTTCAAAGGCGTGGTGTCAAGGTCACCAAACTACTGTATTATAGTTAGCTAGTTGATCATTGCGATGAATACAAAATCAATTTACATGGGTTACGTCTTTTTTAATGATGGTTACGTCTTTTTTAATCCCGGTGAGCTTTCCGCATTAATTTCACATGAATTTTTAGTGAGAAAGCAGGAGCTAATTTAGTTGATGTACTGTCAGAAAGCAACGGCAGTAAACTATTGTCAAGCGAAATTTCAAGACAACAGAAATGAATATAATCTTTAGTGTTTCTTTGATATGTCATGAAGGGTAGAACGGGTAGGGTGATATGGGGGCAAAATAGATTTGTTACTTTAAATGAGGGAAGTTGATTTAAGGGGGCTTATAGTTGGAGGGGCCTGTATCGGTTTAGTCGGACGGCGGAATGGGTCTAAAATTCAAGTGGAAATTGAGATTTTAAGAGAAATATTTTAAGGGAAGGGGATTTTATATTGACGAGGTGCGGGAAAGCAATCCATGTTTAGCAGGACATATACGAGATAAATCAACAAAACTTGCAGCCATATATATTTTAGCTCAATCTGTACCTCATCTGTTGTCATTTGTTTGTGTGCTCGAATGATGTTATTAAACATTTGTCCCTCCTCTACCCCTCATTTACATATATGATTGTGGCATTCATAAGAGTCACGATTTAGATGCATTCACTGTTTTTACATTCTGTTATGATTGTATTCTAGTGTATCAAATTGTATTCTCTGTCGTAACGTTCTTTGAATACCTGCTTATCCGTTGTCTGCATCATAATACGTTGAACAGTTTTAGAAAAAGGCGGGAAAGGGAAATTGGCCGAGCATGGCGGGATAAAGGGATTTGAAGTGAAGATCGGTCTGGATGGCGGGATTTCGGAACCCGGTACTGGTCCCTCTACGAAACTCTATTTTCACTCGTTGGCTCGATATTTTAGAACACGATAATCTGAGGTTTATCTCAAAAAATGTGCCTGATAACTCGTGTCAAGAAACAGAGGGGAAGTTTTGACAGAATTTTATTGAGCAGTTTAGAGACGAAAATCTTTTGTGAAAATAAACGGTATTGAAATTTATAGTACATAGCGATCAAATGTCAAATGACTGACTCTATTTGCCACATTCACAAAGGCCGGCACTTTTATTGACATCAATTAGTTGAAAACATGCTTAATGAAAATATTTATAAAAAATCAGCCTTAAGCTATTTATGTATATTCAGCCACTACGATCCTGGCAAAAATTATTATATGGACAGCTAGATTGAGCTAGTGCATGCGGAAATAGAAATACCGCATACCTGCCTTGCCGAATAGATACGTTTGTCAAAATTTGATAAGGCTACATGTATTTTAACAACGTGTTTTGATCAAGAGTGCATGATCATGCACTATATTCAAGCCTACTATAATTCCTACACTGTTTTCAAATATATAGATACAGTAAAACAAACTTTTCTCTTCAAATAATATCTTTCTACAATATATGGTGTAGTGTTGTTTATCCGAGAGTCAATCAAGAGTCTCGATGTTTCCCCAGAAGAAGTCGACCTAGGAAACTTTAAGATTCAAGTGGAAACAAAACTTACTATATCCCGATGAGACCATGCAGACATTAATTTGTTTTGTTATACAGCATTAAAAGAAAAGTCAACAACATTCATACAACCAGTTGTATTTCATGACAAAAGCTCTATAGTGTAAACGATCTAAAATTGAAAGAACCTATTTGGGATCGGTCATTTTTTTTTGGCGTGGTGGGGTACCGAAGTAGAAAGGGTTGGGAGGGGGGTACCGAAGTAGAAAGGGTTGGGTAAACTAAATATAATTTTGAGTAAGTAAAAGGTTGGGTAAATGAAAAACAAAACAACTCAAGGGTTTGCAATTGGTAATAAAAAATTATTGCCACTTCCAAAGCATAACCCACTGAAATACTGGAGACAAAAAAGCAATGTCAACAGTAGCTCAGTCATAAGGTAATTAATAGCTTTATTAGCATGACCATAAATTTACAGTAATGCTAAAGCATCACAAACAATATATAGAAGAATCTATGATAAACTAGCACTATTACAGATTATTATTTGTGGAATGATTTATAATAGACTAATACAATATTAAGAAGAATTAAGAGGACAGAAAGAAGACAAGCATACTATTTACAAATAAGTTGGTTATTACAACCTTTGCTAATCTGCATTCCTGGTTTCAAGGTATTTAAGTCTTTGCTCGAAACATTAATAAACAAATTTTGAGAGATTGGTTATGATTTCACTATCAGTTGACTTCATTATGTCCGCTGATAGAGTTTGAGAGTTTAGATTAATGTCGTCAGATGAAGTATTCTCTAATGAACTTCGAAGGTTTGCACGAGATTGCTCATAGGCTTTGCAAGAGAGGAGGAGATGGGTTTCATTTTCCACCTCTCCTGAATTGCAGATTTTACATAAGCGGTCTTCACGGGGTATATTTTGATAGCGCCCGATCTCAATTTGGAGGTTATGGTTGCTGACTCTAAATCTTGAAAGACATTTTGTTTTGTATGGATATATATTTTCTAAATACTAAGTAGTTTTCGAGGTTGTGGTCCGTTTTGAATGTTGAGTAGAAATTCAGTTTGGATGAATTTTCAAGTTTATGTTTCCAAAATGTCAAGTATTTTTGCTAAAGGGTTTCGGTAATAGTTTTAACATGTTCAGTCGTTACGGCTTCTAAATTAAGGATTTCTTCATTTAGATTTAAATTTTTGATAGTATCCATTGCATTTCCGTAAAAAGACATTTTCTGCTTAGAGTGCAGATCTTTCGAGATTAGAAAAGCTTGCTTCGCAATGGTTGTTTGGGGAAGTGAGTTTAAGTGAGTGATGTATTTGAAGACCCTTTTGAATACGTTAATGATGAGAGGGAGTTTTCCAAACTCAGCTCTGGAGGCAATGTTACTTGCTTTCCTACTGATAGGGAGGTAAATTTTACAGAACTTAATTAAGATGAACTTTTTCAATTGGTAACTTGTCCCAATTGTTGAAATCATTTTTCACGTATGTCCCCAACTTCCGAGTTGTATAGTAGGATAGGAGTTATAATTGAATCAAATATTTTAATGGCATATTTGGGATTGAGATGTCATATGTAAATACAATATTTGAGTCAATCAAAGTCACTATCTTGATCATTTTCCGATTTGTTACGCGACAAATGGTGTCTCCAAAGAAAGTATATGTGAACACAACATGAAACTCTAGACTGCAGAAAGCCGTTATCAAACTCATGTCACAGAAGTGATTTACCACTGGACATATGTGACAGTTTCATGAATGGGATCCTTTTGTAAAGTTTTTGGTCAAGGGTGGGTATTTATTTTTTAATTGATATTCGAGGTTGGGTAATCAATTTTTGACATTTTAATGGTTGGGTCTGCAAAATTTTTGTCAAGAATAACATTTCTCTTCGGTACCACCCCCCACCATAAATAATGACCGGTACCTTAAACTGTTTCAGCATATCCGGTTGCCTGTTGTGTATTTTATTCTTTATTTTCACAAATTTGGAAAATCGTAGTTTATAAACTTGCGATCGGGGCGGCCAACAATTGCTCACTTTGTTGCCCGTTGGGATATATCGTATTTATTTAAGGCAAGACAATAAATTAAATAATGATGTTTGATGTTCACCCCAGCTATATAATAACAACATTAATACATTTATCTGGTTCTTATTGGAGTAATTCTATTGCCTCAGGTGGTTGCCGTCTTTCTGAGCTTAGTCCACACATTCGCTGAAACAGATTTTTGAAAGCCTCTCCATAAGTTTGATCCAGACTGGCATAAATTATTGGATTGCATAGACTGTTCAAATAAGGAAGTCTGGTTATTACGAATAAAGTTATGTTAATCCGACGTTGGTAGCTGGATGACCTCGAATATCTATCCCAATCAATAAAATTGTTTCGGTCGTAGTACCAAAGCAATATATAAATAAAGTAAGGCCCCCAACAAAGTATAAACACTCCCACGACAACAAGTAACATTCGGATAGTCTTCAGCTTTTGCAGAAAGGCACTTCGTTGATTTCGATCATTGACAGTTTATAAACAACAACAAAAATGAGAGCGTACATAAACAGAAAGACTATTGTGGGTAGAAAAAACGCACTTACTGCCAGAAAAATATAGAATCCTTTCTCTTTGCGCATATCGGCAGGACAATAAAAACCTCTGGCAGTAAGCAAGATTCCCCTGCTTCCTGAATGAGGTGTGGCGCCGTAGGTGGCAAACGCAGTTGAAATGAACCAAATGATAACAATTATTTTCGATGATTTGGAAGTTGTCATTCTGGATCTATACTGAAGTGGCTTCCTTATTTTCAGGTATCGATCAAAACTGATAAATGTCAGTGAATAAATAGATGCTGTTAACGCGAAGGTATCTAACCACATCATAAAACAACATAGATGAATATTTGGAACAGTTAATGTATTGAATGCACTCAAAACCGAATTAAGATCGATTTGATACAGCCTCAGTGGTTCTAAAATCATACCAACCAAAAGATCAGCGACAGCCAGGCAAACAATGAAATATTTATTTGGTTGACGAAGACTTCTTTCTTTCCAGGTTGCCACCAAAACCAAAGTATTGCCAAAAATTGTAAAAATGGGGAAAATAATGAATGTAATTTTCTCTGCTAATTCCAAATCACGCATGTTCAGATCAACGTCACTTCAAAACTAGATCCTAAGGAATATATAAGAATACCAGGGTAGTCAGACAAATTCTAGCAGGGTCAGCGTGCACATGTACTCGTCAGTTCTACATGTGTTGACTATATAGCCAAATTCTCTCAATTTTGTAATATATTTTATACCTTTCAAACAGTATAGCAGCCATTTAAGCAGCCCATTTTTACGAAATTTGTTCGCCACCCGATATATATATATATATATACATATTATTATTATTATTATTTAAAAATATTTTAAAACGGTAACCCTTCAGGGCTCAAATATACACCTGCTTTTCAAGGGGCCGTTTACATGCATCACACTAATAAAATTTCCTAATATAATATTACACACATATTAAAGCTTGGATAAAAATATTTACAAACAAGTATATGTATAGTACTGAAATCATGTACCGTCAAGAATACATTTAAATTTGTTTAAGCCAATGCCTTTTTCTTTAGCTGCAGTGGGCAAGCTGTTCCAAAGTGATGCAGCAGAGTAACTAAAGCTCTTTTTCATAAAGTTTGTTTCCGGCTTTTCAAGTGTATAGTTGTTATCATTACTTCGCAAGTTATACCTATCATTATTTGCAATTTTGAACATGTTTGTTAAAGCGGCATTTCTTAGTTTATGCAAGAAGCTCGTCTTATTGTTTTTGTATCGATTTTTAAGGGGTTGCCAGTTTAACTCTTTTAAAACGTTCTCAGAACTTACATCGTATGTGCTACCAGTGATAATTCGCGCTGCTCTATTTTGTAATTCTTGAAGTTTATCAATTAGATATTCACAACAGTTGCCCCATACCAAGCTACAATAATCAAAGTGTGACAACACAATGGCATTGTAGATTTTCAATAATGTTGATTTGGGAACAAACTGTTTCATTCTTCGCATCATCCCTATTCCTTTTGAAACTTTCGTTACAGTATTTTGAATTTGGTCGACCCATCAAAGACGCTCGTCAATAATAACTCCTAAAGTTTTTGATTTATGAACACGTTTAATTTCTGACTCACCGAGTTCAATTTTAGGATCCCCTATTTTATTTGATATACGTTGTCGTGAGCCGATAATCATATATTCAGTTTTTTGTTTGTTGAGTGTAAGTTTGTTTGCAAGTAGCCATTGATGCACATTTTCTAAGTCTGCGTTTAAGCGTTCTTGTATTTCATTGCCAGTATCACAGTGAGTTGAAATGTTTGTGTCATCAGCAAACATGCTTGCTGAAGACAGACTCAGACAATTTGGTAGGTCATTTATATAAAGCAAGAACAGCAGTGGGCCTAGGTTTGAACCTTGAGGTATGCCACATTTAACAGTCCTTGCCTCAGACATTGCTTGGTTGACCTTGCAGATTTGAGTCCTATTTGTAAGATAAGATCGAAACCATGCAAGTGTATGTCCTCTTATTCCATAGATATGCATTTTCTTAGTTAATATATGGTGGTCAACGCAGTCAAACGCTTTTTTGAGATCCAGAAAAATAACACCGTTCAAACAACCCTTGTCCATATTAATTAACCATTGGTTTGTAATGTTAAGTAGGGAGGTTTGTGTGGAATTATTTTTTCTGAATCCTGCTTGCTGTTCCGTAAGTATGCCGTTAGATTCCAGATACGTTTCAAGCTGTTCGGTAATTAATTTCTCAAATATTTTAGAAACTGATGATAGAACAGAGATTGGGC